TGTAACTTAGAGATGATCTGCAGTGGTATAGAGAGAGAGGGAGCACTAGGGCCAAGTTCAAGGAGGATGAGAGAAGAGTGAGCACACACACACACACACACACACAGAGAGAGAGAGAGAAGAGAAAGAAAGAGAGGTTAGGTTTTTGGGGAGGGATAGAAGGCCCCACTCCAAATTTAAGAGGAGTGGGCACTTCCAGCACCTCAACTTCAAGGCATGACCAAACAACAAACTGTAATGCACTGCCTTTAAAGGCTCGATTGGTTTGTATAAAATAGTCACATGTAAAACAGTTTTCCTATATAAATAGTTTGCTATGAAAGAGTTATTTAATCTTATTTTTTTCCCACATTTGATTCACATGTTTGGAATTTGTGTGTAACCTATTTAGAGCTCGTTTGGTTCATGCGTAACAGTTTCCATATGTAAAACAGTTTTCATATGTGAACCGTCCCGTGTGCAAGAATTTTCCAATCCTATTTTTTCCCAAGTTTGGTTCACATGTGTGGACTACTTGTGTACCTAGTTTCTTATGTTTGGTAACCAATTGGTAAAATATCTCCTAAAATCTAGATTAATACCAACTTTTAATCGTTCTATTGCAATATAGATTATTTGATATCGACGTCCATCCAATTAGGATGATTTTTTTAAGACATTCAAATTATAATATGTTTTAAAAAATTGGATGGTTTAGATCGTAAGTTTGGTTCACTTTATTAAATTAAATAATGGTGGGGCATGATATAAGGTGTAAGCTGTGACTACAGATGCATTGAAAAGAAAAGAAAGGTTCCATGCATCTAAAGAAAATGCCAACCATCATTATTAACAATAATCATGCCAACTAAGTTCAACATCCCTTTTCAAATATTACCAAATAACTTACATAGGATGGCCCCCAACACCTCCCCCAGGAACAACAAGGATGAACTCGAACATACTGGATGAAATATTTACTTCCTCCTGGTATAAGCTATTAACAATATTCAAAATGGAACCTATAAGGCTTTTTTGACAATTGGAAATTGGTTGTATTTAGAACCCGGAAGTTCCTTCTCCTTGAGAAGCTAGATGATCTTTCTCCTCATAGTAGAAAATACTGTGTTTGGTAATTTTTCTAGAATTAAGAGGGAGCTGAGAAACTTGTGTTTGGTACCACCTGGAAGTTATCAACTTGGAGACCGGTTAATTAACCAGTTTAATCCATAAAGAAATTTTATTGCAGGTGTATTAATTTGCTATTTAGATCATCCATAATAGACCAGGGATCATGTTGAGCAGTTTTCCCAAGCATTCATCTTCTTCTTCTATATGTTAAGAAAATTACAATCACCATATGTTGGGGCAAATTTATGGATTCCTCAAATCCTGGATCAATGTGTGAAAATTATTTTGTCTTGGTTTATCAAGTTTACATTCAGACACATGAGGTAATTGCCATGGAACACAATATTTCCTTGTTAGTAAAAAAAAAAAATTCAATATTAAAAGAAAATAAAGGAAGAACTGGTTAACATATCCTGCTAAAACCACAAGAATTAGTATTGAAGGAGCAACTAATAGATGAATTGGTATAGGCAGCCTTGCAAAGAGAAAATTAAAATTATCAAAGAAGGTAACCAACTTTCCAATATATATTACTCCAATTTAGTGGATTATACGCAATTGTCAAATACCTCATACCTCAGTCTAGTGATCCTTTGAGGTTCCACATTACAGTTTTCCATGAGTATTACTGCTTGTGTCCATGATGCAAAATTCAAAAATTAAAAATTTAATTAATTGTATAATTGAATAAGGCCAAAATAATTGCCAGCCATGTACTAAATTGCAACATCATGCTTTCCCATAAATTCAATTTCATTATCATAAAATTTAGCCTAATTCAGTCATCAGGGAATTCTTGTAAAACTGAGAAAAAACCACTAAAATTTTAACATGTAAAACACAATAAAAATTCCCCAATCATAAATCAGGAGAGAACGAATTGAAAATGATCAGACATCAACCTTCCATATCCTTAGCTGCTTTATTGGAAATCCAAATCTCTTAAGAGAGAGACTGGTAAGAAGCAGGCATCAATAAAAAGACGGCTTAGAGCATGGTGGGCCCAGCTCGAGCATATATAGCGGGCCCAGCTCAAATATGTATGGAGGGGTTGGTGGCAATATGTATCAAGAGAAATTAGATGTTGAAGAAATTATTTCTAGCTTATCTAGGAGTGTCAGTATTGCAGATCACAGTCATATAGACCCATTTTTCTCAAAGCCTAAGTCAAAACAGATGACTCTCAAAGGCATGGCGAAAGGTACGAGAAACATGTTGGGCAGATATGTTGGTAAATGGTTCTACGATAAAGGGATCCCCTTTGATGCAGCCAATAGCCCATATTTTCTACCTATGGTCAACGCAATCTAAAGAGCCGAGCCCGGGGTAAAACCCCCGACGACATATGAGCTTAGTGGGCCAATATTGGATGAAGAGGTGGAGGAAGTTAGAAAGTGGATTGAAGAATATAAACAGAGTTGGCCCAGAACATACATTACTCTCATGAGTGATGGTTGGTTGAATAAAGTTGGCAAAAAGGAGTTTCTAAACTTCTTGGCCTATTCCCCAAAAGGTACAACTTTTCTGTTTAACAAAGATGTATCGGGGAGGAAGAAGGATGCAAACTTCTACGTACGACTATATGATCAGATAGTGGAGGAGGTGGGAGATAAGCATGTAGTCCAGTTTATTACAGACAATACGCGTGCATGTGTTTCTACGAGCAGGAAGTTGATGGATAAGAGGAAGCATCTTGTATGGACCCCGTATGCTACACACAACATCGATCTTATGTTAGAGGAGATCGGTGAGATCAAAATTGTGAAGGAGACTCTACAGGAAGCGAGGTTGGTGTCAAGATTTATGTATAACCATTTTAAAATTTTATTTTTGTTCAGAGAATAGTATAAGAAAAAAGAGATATATGATGGGAGATATATGGTAGTGATGCACCTCACCTGGAGAGGATAGCAATCAAGGTGCTCTCCTAGACATGTTCTGTTACTGGCTGTGAGTGAAACTGGAGTACGTTCCAATAGTTGTACACTACTAGAAAGAATCGACTCGCTTCGGAGAAGCTTCATAAACTAGTCTACGTTCATTACAACTTAAACATCCGAGAGCGACAAATAAAAAGGAAGCTTGAAGACTATAGGCCGATAGACTTGGACACAATATTTGTTACAAACACAACAGAACAATAGGTAGTAGAAGAAGAGGAGCCAGTGTTGCACAAGATAGCGTTCCTTGAAGCTATCGGTGAGGAAGATCTTGAAGAAGGTGATGAGCAGCATGAAAGAGGAAACAGCCTGCCAATATATCCACAATTCGTCGGAGATGTCGGTGATATTGCACCAAATGAAGGAGAAATGAGAGAGATGATGATTCTGAGGCCACCCAATCCCAGCCAAATTATTCACATATTGAGTCCCAATGACAAGAGGGTAGGGATGAGCACAATAGTGTAGGTGAGCATGAATGATGGATAAGCTTAAAGGATTTTGGATTAGGACCACAACAAAACACTAACACTCATGGATTTAAGTATAATCAGGTGTCCACTAATTTGGATGATTTGTTTTTAGATCGAGTCAATGAATTGTCACACGAATTCAATCAATGGCACCAGCTGATCAAGATGAAGAACGATGTCGTCTGTCATTTTATTTTTAGATCGTATGTTACGAATTGTATGCTTTATTGTAGTTCATGTATGATATACTTAATCTATGATAGTTCTATGTTTATCCTTTTGTGTGATGTAAATTAAATGGTAAATAGTAGTTCATGCAGGGAAAGAACATATCAATATTCGCATATTCATGCAAAGAAATGAAAATTCTTAATGGAATACCCTTATTTCTTATTTAATTCTTAAAAAACAACATTTATAATAAATTTTAATAATTTTTTCGAATTTTTTTTAAGGTTTAATCTGACCGATTCAGCCGATTCCCTATCCGGATCACCGATTCACCGATCCGGATGGGTTTTTCATATGCCCGATCCGGGTCACCGATTCGCTTTTTAAACCACAGTGAAAACTGTTAAATAGTTATAAAGAAAAGTATATCTTCATACATTTTACTTTCTAAATATCAGCAGATCCTTTCCCGTAAGTGTTGCATTTGAAAGATTTATGGGATCCATGTTTTATTGGAGGAAGTCATCTCTCCTTTTATTTCCTTTTCTCCTTTAAATTAACATTAGAAAAACATATTTAAGCATGAAAAGTTTTTATAACTTTATATAAAGTTGCAACTTTATACTATAGAAAAAAACATGCCTAAAAAATCCAACAAAAGGTTGTTCTCATGTTAAAAAACTTTGTAATTGATTATCTCAATCTTGAGATATTTAGATGTGGAAAAAAAAAAAAACTGAAGTCCTAAAAGTGATTTATCTTGTAATACATTATGCATATTGTCAATTCTCAATATTTGCATGTGTTTGTGGATCAACTCTAACCGTATCATTGTTTAAGTTTAAAATTTTATAATTAGATGTGAATAGTTTATTGGGTCATCATTGAAATTTTCGACGCCAAAATTATATTTCTATGATCTTTGAAGATGCACTGTATTTGGATTGTTTACGGTAGACATCTTATACAAACCGCACTCTTTAAGCATTGATGCCAGTTTCAAATGACCTATAATTCAAAAGATACTTTAAACCTTCTATTTTAATTTGTATACTATTCCTTAAATATTTTTTATGTTTATATAATTTTTTTTAAATCCCCTCTATTTTCCTACCTCATATACCTTTTATTTTAATTTGTATATTATTTTATTTATTTTTATCATTTGTAGATTAGAGATCATCGATCCAAGAATCCGACATATGTAATGTCGTGTTTATTAAATTTTTGGGATTAGCGTGGCTCATCGCGTAATTTACGAAAAAAAACCGGGCATTTCTAGCCATGTTTTCTCGCTGTAGAGAACAGTTAAATCAGTTACGTCAGAGTAAAGCTCAATGATGAGGAAAACCCTTACGCTTACTCTTCGAATCTCCTCTTTATCCCGTGAATGGAAGAAATTGGAACTTACTTTCTCTGCAACTCTTCCCCATGGCTATAATTTAAGTCTCTCGAGGAGAAGCTAGGGCATCGCTTACTGTAAAAATCATGGCCTTCTATAACATTAGAGAGATTTTGTCTACTGTGATTTTTTCTTTTTCTGTGGAGGAGTGGTCATGGCTTCTTGTGATGGTTTTGAGAGCGGCATGGATAGCTGGAACCTTACCTATACTGCTTTCTTTCATTCCCTTTTCTTCTTTCGTTCGTATTCGAAATGTGGTTTTAGGGTTTGCTAAACGAGGGAAGCTTCTTCAATCTTCTTCTCAGGTTTTTTTTTTATCGCTTTCTGGAATAGTGGTTTTTCTTCCTGTTTTGGTTGTTACGTTCAATTTTATGCGTGTTTTGGTTCTTTTTGTGTTTAAATGGATTTAGATGCTGGTAAGAGTAGTGCTTTCGTTTTGTATTCTTAGGCATTGGAAATCTGCAAATTTGTGTTATTTTGTTTAGGTTTGGGTGTCGTATTAGTGAATTTTCTGGGGATTATGATTTCGAACTTTTTCTTCATGATGCTGTTTAAGGTTGTTGAAGTTTGGAGATTTTCTGGGTATTTGGGAATGGCGTTTCTGGTCCGACTAGTTTCTCTGTGCTTAAATCTCTCTCTCTCTCT